TGGATCTGAATGCTCACCCCCAATTTACTGAACGTTCGGCAGGTTATTTAGCTTTCAGTGCTGCATATTTCAGAAAGGGGATAATGATGCCTATGTTGCCAGGTGTTTACGTGTGAAATGAAGCATAGGTGTATACAGGACAATATCTGGCACGAATTTAAAACAGCAGTCGCCAGTGTTGCTTTGTGCCTTTGTGCCTTTCTCCTAGAAGATATCAGCAGCGTGCCAACAACTGTACTGGTTTCCAAAAACACAAAAATAGATACAGAATGATAGCCACCTTTACAAATGTGTGCTTCCCCCCTGCATACCAAACACTGTTATTCAGCAATAATGCTATAGACTTCACTGTGGTTAAAGCAATTCCCTGCACTATTTGAGCAACAGTAACTTACAATATCCCATTACAATATTGCCTATTTTTGTCAGAATCAACACTTCTATTCTTCCTCCTTTTTTCCCCCAATAAGACAGCAAGATTTATCCAGCCTGAATTGTCTTTGGTGACTTTGGGTAACATCATGAAGCCAGCGAGCTTATGTCAGTGAGTGGACTCCTCCTTACATGCACCACACTTTCCAAAGCAGCATGATTATACCATTGCCTTAGAGGTGTCTTGGAAAATTCATTAGATTTACATGTTATATAGGATATGATATTGATAGATGTATTTTTCTTCTCCAAAGTACTTTTTTCAAAAAATATAACTTTATAGAATCTAATATCCATAAACTGGAGAGAAATGTTAATGATGGGAATCTTCAGTGCTGTACCTGATTAAGGGGAAGACTTGTTCTGGGAGCATGAGTTGTTCACTGCCTTTTAAACCATATAACACTGCTCATCTCTCTGTGCCTTAGCTTCAGGATTATGAAAGAGTTCAAGTAATTCTGCTCTGTTCATGATGGCTTTTGCACACTGTCTGAAAGGATTCTAAATTAGGCATTGCAGGCTTGACATTAACATTGGATGAATAGATGAAAATTGTTGGTAGAAGGGACAACATGTCCTTTTGAGCATAACCACAGTACATTAAAATGGACAGATGAGCAGTTGTGATAACCTCTAAGCAAAAATTGAAAAGGAAAAATGTCTACCTAAACTCATGAGAAGGAAATGAAAATAACAAAGCACTTCCATTTAAAATAAGTGAAGTACTGAGGAGATTAAGTGAAAAGCTACTTTACCACCAAGGAAACCCTTTAGAGTGGAGGGGATTGTGTGACAGGGTGCAGTGTTTACTTGCCAGGAAAGAGAGACGCTGCCATTCTGTCCACTTTTATATTCTCTGTATTTATTACAGGAAATGTGAAATGTTCTAGTCATGGAGCCTGTGCATGTACCAAAATCCATGATTAAAAGAGCAGATCTCTCAGCTGAAGATAGACAGATCCATGATAAAATAAATCGGAAGTTTTAGATTTAAATGTGGATGCTAGAAGGAGACTGGAGCTGATCACCTAGTATTTTGTTTCTACATTATCTATTATGTCCATCCTTTTTATTTGACTGACTCTGTTCTGTTATGTCACATTTGTTTTTACTCTCTTCAAAAAAAAGTAATAAGAACTGTGGGAGTAATAAAACCCAAAATGTGTAATTGTCATTGTACAAAAGAAAGGAAAAGAAAGTGCTCTAAAGAATATAACTACATATATATTTAAGTGTATAAGATAACCATATTACTGAGTTTTGTTGGATCATTGAACAAAACTGTTTCCAGTCTCACTGTTTGAAAGTCCACTTTATATGCTTTAATTTTGTAACTTGAACAACTAATTCTAAGATAACAATATGTAATCTATTAACTAGTGATTTTCTACTGTTTATTTTTTCTGAAATTCTGTATAACTTGTACCCTTTTTCTGTTTTTTTCTCCTTAAATAAAAAAAAGGAGACTGGAGCTCAAAGAAGTTCTTATACTGTACATAGTTTATAAAATGTAAATATTAAAAAATAAAAATCATATATGAGATATATATAACATTTAAAAAAATCTTCCAATTAGCTTGACATGCAGAATGGGCTGGTCATGGGATGGTTGGCAATGATTTTCTTTATAAGAACTTTATGCTCCAAAAGTGTATGGCTTAGAATATGGTTTTAAATAAATTTGCATTAATTTTTTTCAGTTTCCCAACTTTCCAGAAAATGAAAAGACAAATCATGGAGTAGAGAAAATATTTGCAAAATATTTAGCTGATAAAACATTGTTATTCAAAATATATGAAGAACTCAAGGAAATTAATAAACCATTTAAAAGTGGGTGAAAGATCTGCATGAACACCTCACCTAAGAAGATGGCAAGTAAGCACAGGAAAAGATGTTCAATATAATACATCAGCAAGAATCACTAAGTAAAAATACAGCTACACTAATCAAAAATTGACAACATCAAGTTCTAGTGAACATGTCCAGCAGCAGGACACCTCTTATTGTTGACAGAAATGCAAAATGATACAACCATTTTGAAAGATGGTATTTACCTGAATAATCTAAAAATTTATTATTCCAAAAAACCTGCACACAGAGATTTATAGCAGCTTTATTCATAATTAGCCAAACTTGGAGCAAGTGAAATATCCTTCAGCAGGCGAACAGACACATAAAACGTGGCATCTCCAGGCCAGTATTATACTCCAATGCCGTATTAATTCAGCACTTGAGTGAAATGAGTTATTGAGTCATTAAAAGACAGGGAGGAAATGTAAATGCTTATTTCCAGGTGAAAGAAGTCAATGTGAAAAGACTGCCCACTGTGTGATTCCAGCTACATGACATTTTGGAAAACACAAAACCATGGAGATGGTAAAACAGGCAGTGGTTGTCAGTGTTCAGTGGGGAGGGAGGATTTCTAATACTGGGTATTGTATTCTAATGCTGATACATGCCATTATACACTACCAGAACACACAGGATGCACAACACCAAGAGCAAACTTTAATGTAAACTGTGGACTTTAGGTGACAATGGCATGTCAGTGTGGGTGCAGCAAATGCTGCAGCCCTGCTGTTGGGGGATCATGAGAGTGGGGAGGCTGTCTGGAGTAGGTATAGAAACAGTCTCTACCTGCCGCTAAATTTGCTGTAAATCAAAAATTTTTCTAAAACATAAAGTTATTAATTTAAAAAAGAGGAAGGAACCATTGCTATCAGACATATTGTAATAAGCAAAACCAACCAATAGTGACATAAACCAGGATACTGTTTTTGTGATAAACACTTTGTGAGAACACACAGAGGAATATGCTTGCTTGTTACACACATCTATAGTCAATGCCTTCATACAGAGCTTTTTATAAATACAAAAGAACCTCCCCAACTTTACATGTAAGTTTCAGTTATTTCCTGGAAATCCTTTGTTTTCCTGGGGGAAGTAAGCAATCCCTGCTCACTTTTCTTTCAATAATTTTGGAAGAAGATAATGAGGCATTGATAGATTAATTAAGACACAACTAAACTAAGACAGGAGGAAACATTCTAAGTATTTAAAGTGGATACAACTTTATTCAGGGAAATGGTTAAACAGATGATGGGCAAACTGAGAAGCTAAGCCATGGAAAGTCAATCATTTTAAAGACTAAAAGTAGCAGAAGGTCCAAGGCATTACCACCCACAATTCTCGAAGGGCAAAGGGAAAAGAGAGTGTTGCTGAAGCTGAGAGTTCAAGGTCACTTGGGGAAGCAGGAGGCAGGAGCTGAGGCTGGAAAGCTAGTCCGCGGGGAGCAGCTCCCCTGGAACAAAGCAAGAGCAAGGCGAAGAAATCTTACGTCAAAACGCACCCAGATGAGTACAGCTGGAGAAGGAAGTTCAGGAAATAAGTTTTCCAGTGTTATTTTCTCTTCCATCACAACTACTACACTAGATAAACTGATTTATAGATATTTTTGAAGTGCCCTCCGTTTAGCTCTCGGGAACTTCATTTAACAAACATGCTAAAAATTATTGAAATCTCCATTTTAGTTTTATATCTAATCTTAATAAACCAAGTTAACACACTTTCACAATTATGAAAGAATTACCCACTTGCATTTTGAAGTTAATAAAAGGTATTAAAGGAGACATGCTTGCTTTCCATATAAGACTTAGACGGTGATCAATGCTGTTTGGTTGTATTGTTTTATTCTGAAATGAACGTAGGTATATTCTAATGTACTGAGTGTCACCATTCTTCAAGGAGATCATAAAGACACACTTTGAAAATCGATCTAAAGGAGGAAGTGGGAAGCCACACAATTTCCTCAGTAGACCACTACTCAGTTTCTCTATTACTCTCTGTTCTACTGAAAACTGCTAATAACACATTTCAGACTAATATCAAAGCACTAATTTTTAGGCTGTTGTCTGTCTTTTCTAGTATAGAAAGATTATCTACTATAGAAAGATTGATGATGTCAAATATACCTACAGTATTTATCCATTGTGTAACTAGCTGAATGTGTGTCTGTGTGTGTGTGCACGTGCGTGCGTGTGCACTCGTGGGCCTATTTATACATACAAGCTTAAAACTTAGTGCATGTGACCTTAACCATGTCGTCCTTTTAGTTTAGGTAACATAAAATTTCCCAGTAGGCAGATTTTGAAATGTTATCCTTATCTCACGCATAGATGTGTTAATGATTAAACTATTATTACTGCCAAATTTCCTTCAGTTTATGCTATTAAAACTTGATTTGGTTTATTATTTTGATAATAGATATGTTTTCAGTATTTAAAAAAAATAAAATGACTATTAGAATAGAATGAAGTGTTAAAATATTTACCTTTAAGAGATGAAATAGTGGACTCTGTTAGACAACTCATAGTTCAGATCATTTCTGATAATAAACAGACAAAAGGGTACAGAAATGATATCTTTCACTGTTTGGAACTTCACTAAAAGTAGAAAGCAGGGAGGCACCTATAATATTTAACCTTGTTTTGTTCTATGCAAAGAAGAAAAATATTTTGCAGGGAAGCAGTCCAACGCCCACTTTAAATTTCTGTCTTAATCGCACTTACCTAAAATTGAGTGAATAAACAGCATGGACTTTCCAAAACCATCTATTTTCTTTTCCTTGAAATGGTAGTTGACTATGTCATTTAAAGACTTCCTAAGTACTTCATCCAGGGTCTGGTAAATCCTATACACCTGCAATGCAAAGCAAACGTATTTAGTTAACCAATTCACACTTAAAAGTTTATTACAGAAACAGCAAGCTAGGATGGACATATCTAGAACATATGGTATTTTACAACTCTTTCATAAGCTATTAATAACTTGTAATACTGAACTGAGAACCTTGGCTTTCATTTTTTAAAGAAATGTTTAGAATCTTAAGGCTTTATTGTAGAAGTCTTTCTACAGTTGAAGATGGTCAGACCCAAAGGGATCAAGTGATGATTTATGACCAAAAAGCTATATTTTGGACCAGAAAGTGGCCTGGAACCATGGGTTTCTAATATAGTTTTTTGTTTTTATTTAAGAACCCAAAGACAGGAGAACACAGACTCTTCTGTTTTCTGAGTAGGTAAATTTTTTGATATTGCTAGCAGCATCTTTTCTGCTAAAACTGAGGAAACTATTTTTGAGGTCAAAGTCCACAAGTAAAATATATTCTCTAATGCCTTAAGCCCAAAAAGTTGTAGGTAGATATTCCTACAACTAACTATAGCAAAGTCAACCTAACAATTTTAGTAATTCATGTGATTTAGTATGCTGCATGGTAGTAACATAAATAGTAAATAGTTCACAAAATTGGTTCATGTTTCTTAAAGCTAAATTGTTTTACAAGTTTTTGCCTTGTGAGAAAATTTACAGATGAGAACTGAGAGACGCTTTACGTTGCACTTCCCAGGGCTTAGGATTCCCGCTCTCTGTGGAGAGGGATCCAGGTACTCTATCTACGGTCTTCTATCAGTTAAGAGTATGCTCAACATTCTTCCCTTCCTCGCCCCTTCCTCTTTTTTCCTCTCCCTACCATTATATGGCCTGGATGTTACTATCTCAGTGGCCAGATACCTTGGAGTAGCAGCAGCCTGAATCTCTGGAATTCACACGTTAAAGTGAGGAAAGAGTGAGGAGAAGAGATACAGCGAGTTAAATGCAGAAGACTGCCCAAGCACCCATCACAGTGGGGATGGCAAGGAAAGGGACAGAAGGCGGCTGGATGGGTGCCATTTTCGCCCTGTTCAAACCTCGTGTTTTCATGTCTTATTCTTTTATAAACTTAGATTGTCAAAAATGATCATAATTGTTATTTTAGCTTCCATGACTGACTTGAAACACTCCATAATTTTAGCTATATCCAGAAGAGTCTATGACTCTAGCTCCCTTTCCTCTAATACATATTCTCAGTTATGTTTATCAGTACATGACCATATTTATTTACCAGAGCTAAAGAAATTCTCACTGCATAATTAAACCTTCTGTCACATTTAGACCCATCAGTCTTTCATTCTGATTATATTCTAAGTACCTGCATGAATTTGGCATTGTTTGAATTAAATTGCTTTTACTACAGTAGTACTTTCAGATTTTTTTCCTTTAAAGTGTATGCTATTAATATTTTAATAAATTGAGCTTGGGGTAGATTAGACCTATGCATTTGGGAGTAAGTTATATATTATCAATATTGTCCTCCAATGAATGCAGTTTTCCAAGCCATGTAATTAGGAAACAAAGAGAAACATATACATTTTCTTAATGTTCTTTTGTACAAGGATGAGTACAGAGATAAAGTGACATACTGTGCTCTCTGGCAATATAAAATCACTTTAGAAATCCCTTAGTATTGGCCTGGTGACATTTTAAATCTTGTTGTTGGTTTTTCCTCTGCCTGCCAGTCAGTCTCAGGGTTGGCATTTTACATGCTTCTTTTTGGCCTCAGTGTCTGAGTTACAGCAGACTGCAGTGGACTAGCAGGGTGATCAGGCAGTGACAAAGACGCTGCACTGAAATGCCCCAGGGTGGCTCACCTTGACTAGGATCTAAGCCCTTCATAAAGCTGCACCTCATCCTGATTGTAAGCTGGCTTTAGTCTTGCCGTTACCTCTCCCACAGTGTGGTCCCCATTTCAGCCTGTGTCTCACAGTGATCAAAAGCAGGTGTCCAATCTAGAGACAGCCCATCTCTACTACTCTCGGCTTCTGTTCCCTGTGGCAGCTCTAGAGTATGCAGAACTGGATTAGATAATTCTTTCCACTCTCCAAACTGAGGGTGGCGGCTTCCCAAACTGCCAGTGAATTAAAGCCACCCATGCTTCTGTCTTTCTTGCTGCTGCCTATTAGGCACCTGCAAAGGATAACTCTCACAAGAACACTGGGTGGGGATAGAAAATAATACCTCTGTCTCTTTAAGATTTTATTTAAATTTCAGGTCTGCTAACTTAAATTCTAGGCTAGCTAACCTAGAATTTCTAGTGTGGCTGAAGTTAAGATTTAATGTCTTGGGATCAAAAAAACCCATGTCTTCTTTACCTACTTTCTGAGAAATTTCCAGAAGGATTCAGATTGGAATTAGTCTGTGGATATCTTGCAATAAGCTATCAGAAGAAAAAGAATTACTTTGCTTATTTTTTGTTTTTAATTTTATATTTTTGGCACCAGGGGTCGAACTTAGGATCTTATGCTTGTGAAGCAGGCGTTTATACCACTGAGCTAAATCCCTGGCCCTACTTTCTTTATTTTGGGTGCCATAATTTAGGCATATAGGTTAGGCAGAAGTTACAGTATACAGATTTTTCTTAATAAAAAATCTTCTCCAGGGGCTGGGGATTTGGCTAGACAGCATAAGCGCCTATCTGGCAAGCGCTAGGTTGTGAGTTCAGTCTCAGGTACCAGAAAACAAAAACAAAAACAAAAACAAAACTAATGCATAAAAAACTCAGTCCAATTAGAGCAAAAATAGAATGGGCCACGTGAAAAAGCTATGTCCATTATGAAATGGACTCAATCTAGAGGTTTAGTAATCACTTGTGATGTGGAATTTGATAACGCACATTCATTCATTATATAAGGATAGAATAAGTGGTCACTTCTGGCTCTGATTTCATAGGAACTTGTCAAATATGAGACAAGGAGAGTTAATATTCATGTTGTTATTCATTTTAACGCCCCTTTGGCTCTTCCTACCCAAGTCTTCATTCTCTATTGAGAGTTCTGCACAGAACTTCTACTGTTTAATGATTTATTTACTCATTGTCTTTTCACACTAAATGATAAGCTGCACAAAGGCAAGAACTACGTCGTACTAGGCCCACAGTAATACTTATTGTATGAACAAACCAGAGTGGAGGTAATATTTTAGGTTGTCAGTAAATTTTAATCTAAGGAGAAATTAAGAGCTTTTTATCACAAAGATATGCTGGTCAGATTAAGGCTTATAAATTATGGTTTTATTTATATATGACCTAGAAAAAAGAAAAGATGAAGTATGAATTTAAATAGCATGAATGTACTAAGGGAGAAATCCTACTATGCTGTGTTTTCTTATGTCGAATATTATCTTCTTTACTTAAAAATATTTGGTTTAATGTCTTTCTTTTATCCCTATTAACTTGCCTGACACTGAAAATAATTTCATTACAATTTGAAGAATTCACAGGCCTTCCAGTCACACTGAAAAAAAGGGGGGGATCCCAAGCAGATGTTTTATCTGCTTTATTATTCAGGAATGGTAGCCTAAATGTTAAAAGGAGGAACGAAGTGGGTGGTACCCAGGATGGACTCTGTGGGCTTTTCTTTTCTGTTAAACTTGGTGGGGGACTGGAGTGTTGTGAATCCAGCTTACTAGATTTCAGATGTGAGGATGGGGAGCAATTTCAGATTCCTGAGTTAGAGATGATCATGCCCAGAGAGTTGCAAAAGGGTGCCTCCCAATAATGCAGAGCTGGGGAGCCTTGCTGCATTCATAAACATGTAAAGCTTGATAACTTCTGGTGTCTAACACTATTTGTAGGTGTAAGTTGTAGCAGTTATTAAGTGAGTCTGGTTAAGAATGACTATAGTTTGCAGAAGCAAATAATTTCCAAGCAACTTAAATAGTTCTTGTTTCCTTTTTTTGAGTGGCTATGTGCTGCTATATTCACAAAATGCATGCTGAGATTTTACCCTGGTGCTAAAGCTGAGCTCAAAATTCCTGTCAAGCCTCTTGTACAAATGCAACAGCAGAAATATTTGCTATAACAATGAGGAGGCTGGAACAGAAGAAATAACAGGTTGAAGCCCCTTCTGCTGAAACCCCTTCTGGTGTTATGGAAAAGAGAATGAACTGGATCAGCTGACTACATTTTATTCCTGTCTTTACTTTTAACTCATTTACTCTCAAAATGGTATTTTCAAATGGAACAAATTTTGCTCTCACCACTAGGGACATTTGTCAATGTCTAGTGGCAACTAGGATTGTGGGAGAGGGGGAAGTACAACAGGCATCACATCTAGTAGCTAAAGATCAACGTGCTGCTGAACATCCTACAACACACAGGACAGCCCAACCCAAATAATCCCTCCCAAGCCATACCAGAAACTGGTCCAGATGGTTAGTGTTAGTTGTTAAGCCTTTGGCCAAATAATCAAGAAATTAGCCAGATCTCAGAGAGGGATTGTACATCTGTAATGTTTCCCCATCCGAAGCTGGTCCAGACCTCTGAGTGGCCCAAGGTGAGTATGAGTCCCCTTCTGAGGTTTCCTCAAGTTCTCTACATCATCCTGCATTCCTCACTGTACCTCCACCTCTTCTCTTCTACTCCTCCTGTGCTCTATTCTTTGGTGTTGCCACACTTTCCATTGAGTTCCTCCTTAACAGCATTTGTTACCATGGAAAATTATCATAAATTTTTCTTATAATTCCATAAGAATATATCCACCTCGAGGGCAGGAACTATCATGTTTATTTCTTTGTCATCTCTAGTGCATCATCTTTATCATGATGAATAACAATTTTCAGTAAATGTTTGCTGGAGTAAATGACAGCTTACGGGACAATTAGCAACCACAAAACTCATGGTTTTTTCAACTGCTTCTTTCATGAAATCGTGGTGTAAATTTATGCAGATAATTTCACCAGAGTATTAATTATTGACCTAAGAATCTCAAAGTCACTGAGGAAGCGAAATTAAAATTCATGGCCCTTGAGTTAAAGTCAGGATCACC